TATTGGGCCAAGTGGGAGAATGTAAACTATTTTCTTACGTGTATGTGGCCCAATAAGATTAGGGCCATAATTAATATTTAATTAATGAGCAAATATCATCCGTCCGATCGGTTACTTGATGGACGTACCGGATTAAGTGAGAACCTCTATAAATTGGTCCTCTCCCCACCCATTAGGGTTACCGTATTTTTATTCTCTCTTCCATCTCTAAAGGCGGCGGTAACATAAAGTTAGGGCAAGGGGCGAGAAACCAGTTTTGAATTAACGCTTCCGCTTCAAGATAATGGATTCCGCTTCAGGTATGTTTTCTATGGCAATTACATGTAAGATTATCATATTCAAGATCCCGGTATGAATTAAAGTTTATGCTTACACAACATGCCCGAAAATTATTAAACATAGATAATCAAAGGAATTTTTGTATACATTTTTTCTTTTGAATTATATATATTTTTCTACAACTTTTATTAGACAACAAGATCCAGAGTGACACTGTAAGAGTGCCCATTGGTATGATAAAACTTAAAATAACTTGGTAATTCTTTCAGCGCATTGCGGAAAACTGATTCCTCTTCCATCGGAGAGTTTGGTCCATCTCTTCTACTCCTTTAGTACCACTACTACTCCATGGTAGCTTGAACTTGGCCATTCTTCTCTTCCTTGCAGCAACTCCAATTTTGTCTCCATAGTCCTATAAAAGGGTGACAAATTTGAGAATCTTATTAACAAGCTATTGAAGATTAAAAAGATTGATGGTAACAAGGAGAAATGAAGATTAAGTCATACCTTGTGGCATGTGCCTTCTAAAACATCACAAAATGGAAAGTCAGTTGGGCAGCATAAATTTGATCCCTCACAGCAAACCCCATTTTCAAGAGGACAACATCCATGAACTAAGCACATGCCATAGAAATCTACACCACAGCAACATGTTTGATGTTCTGGACAATAATATAAGCCGTCTTCACATTCATTTGGTTTTGGAGAAACTGGAGGGGATGGTTGCGCAGCTAAGATAAAGAAAAGAGCGAAACCAAGAAGAAGAAAAAGGTGGGCCTTTTGTGTATTCCCCATTTTTTGAGTGCAATTTGTCCTAAAATTTTATCCGTTGATACATATAAGTGTACTGGATATTTATTTCAACAACATTGTGATGGACGTTGTTATCGTTACTCTCAAAACATTTCTCGTCCACCCCTTATTTACCAATTATCAACAAGTCGATCGGATATTAGCCAGCCAAAAGTGCTCTATCCGTCTCAAAAAAGGACTGGGGTTTTCTGAGTAGAGCATCTCGTTTCTATGTAAACTAATAATTTAGGTCATAGTTGGCAACATCCACAAATTTTTAGAAGTCAAATTAATACATTGCAATGCTACTTGTTTATTATCTCTCAGTTTGATGTGACATCTTGATATCATTTTCACACTTTCCAACTATTATTTCAAGCATAAATTTAACAAACTTAAAGCACAATTGTTTTTTTTTTTGGGTGGTTTTTGGTTAAGAAAATTTCCTTTCAACGCATTGCAGCAACATGATTTCTCTTCCATTTCAGAGTTTGGTCCCTTTCCTCTGTTGCTTCAGTGTTAGCTCTCCATGGTAACTTGTGTTTGGCCATTCTTTTCTTCCTTGCTGCCACTCCAATATTGTCTCGGTAATCCTGCAAAAAGGCAAATAAAAATCAAACGAATAAGATATATTTAACTTTCTTAAGAGTTGTTTAAGTTGTATTTCCTTCACTTGTATTCCCTGTAATTTTTGGTAATCAAAATTTTGGTCCTTCTGCTACACATTGAATATTGAACATTTGGCAGGGAAAACTTCTACATAGTGCTTTACCCCTCCTAATGAACTCAGACTAGCTCGGGTAGTAGGTTTCAGATACCAACAAATATCTAAAGCAAAATAAAAGTTACTTAGGCCTAGTACTTCTAGTATCTAATAATTGAGCAAATTTATGCAACCTTAATATCTTTCAAAAACAAAAAGTTGGATTTTTCCCTTAAGAAAGTGCTATAAGAAAAGTCATACCTTGAGGCAGAGACCCTCATAAACATCACAAATGGGATAGTTAGCTGGGCAACAAAATTCTGATCCATGACAGCAAACACCATTTTCATAAGGACAGCATCCCTGAATGAAGCATATGCCAAAGAAGTGCAACTCACAGCAGCATGTTTGATCTTCTGGACAGTAATAAAAGTCTCCACATTCACTTGGTTTTGGAGAAGGTGGTGGAGGGGGCGGAGGGGGTGGCGG